ACGGCTGCTTACAAAATTTGGTCATCACAAGAGATCACTCGTAATAAAGTTTGCCCCTTTCCACTATTCTGACGCTCCCGGGAGTGAAGGGGCAATATAGGATACTGGTAATTTCCTAGAAAAGAGTTGGTAAAATACCGCATCTTTTTCCTCACTTCTCATATTTTATTAGTATTATACCGATCCTACCTACGTAGGACAGTGATGAACCCCAATCACCACCATTTTTTCTTTTCTTTTCTTCTGAATTACTACCCGACAGCAGTGGCAAGGGGTGCACTGCATGCCCGCGTTACGCTGTACGATACCGCGAATAGGCGTCTCACAATGCTTCCGGGGCATGCCTACCAATTCATACCTTCCACCCTATCAAACCCTACATTCATATGAGAGCGTGAACGTGGACTCCTTCTGACCAATATCCCCCTTCTCCTCTCTCCTTATCCTCCGACAATAATAAATCTGTGGAGGATTTGCCGTCCACTAGCGCACCCGTACTCCCCCCCAATCCATCAAACCGCCTCTCAGGTAGTAATTGCACACACCCCTGCCAAGCCCGTAATTCCGGAAACGCAATACAACACTCCGTATTTGACGGAGGGATATCATCGTGGACTAATACTTTGACCGGTCCACCCCCTTTTAAATCTAATCTCACGGAATACTGTGTATGTGCCGGCGCCAACTCTGAATGGTAGAGGAGGTTAAATTCGGTAGATAGCTCTTTGGCTCGGACCTCATGGGATGGTAGGAAGTTGAGAGTGACATGTTGTGGCACATGAGGTGGATGGACTGATGGGATACTAGGGTGTGGTGGGAGAGGTTATTTTGGAGGGAGGGTGGGTTTGAGCCATGTTTTTGCGGGGTGGTTGTTGGGCCTAGTAGAATTCGAATAGATGAGGGGGTATGTTGAAGCGGCATACCTGGCCACCTCAACAACCTCATGGCTATAAACCCTACCACACACACACACACCCTCCACCCTTAATTCAGTGGAACAAACCCCAATTTTGTACAGTAGTGCCTCAACCCTGCAAGACTACAAGACAATCAAGCATCAACTCATGACGATCCCACGATCCCGGATGACAATTGGGTTACCACTGTGATGCTTGATGCATCAAGTCGGACTGCCGGTACGTGTTTTACAGCGCACCGGTATTCCATAGCTACATTCATATCCCAGCACGAGTACCTAGCCATATGTCCATCGTTTCAGACGACTGGATCCTTCTGCCCCCCCACACCCAACTCTAATTTCTGTAGGCCAACCATCCCCCCCCACCCCCCTTCGTGCTTCCTGTACAAGCTGAAGCTGCGCACGCTCAGCTTAATCTTGCCTCGTCATTCCAACCGCCCCCATAGGCTGCAGCAATGGCCAATACACAACCTCCCCCGAAATACACCAAGCTCCATCCTCGAATGGTCTCTGCTAGCACGCGGTTGGGAGTAAATTGCTACCAATCTCGGGGGAGACGAGGTGGGGGAGAGAGTCCTGTACAAGCTTTGGGATTTCTCACGCGGGGAGGACATTTTCGCCAATGCGGTGCCGTGTTAGGCGCCGTTTATTCCATCCGTCCGAGTATAACAAACCCTCCGAACGCTCCGACAAATCACGTGCCGGACTCAACCGAGTGATATCCTGTGCAACCCCCTGAGAATAAGGGAAAACAAGACTTCTTGCGTGATATTAACAATTATTATTATTAGTTCAAGCGTCAAATGAAGCCCGAAAAGCATTATTCTAAAGAGTCTACCGCAATAAAACCAAATCTAGTAAAAAAAAGAGAAAAAATAAAATGGATAGTCCCCCTAAGAATCATCCGGACTTCCTGCAGTCCACCTGTTGCCCCTTCGTCCTTCGCTACACCGCTGCGCCAGAATCAGCGCCGCATAAACCAAAACTTTCTCGCAGAAATAGTTATGGTGGGTGGAATCGTAGAGGTGTCGGGATTCCCAGAAACTTAGATAAGGCATTTTCGGCCTTAGTGGAGGTATTCTGAATCGTCAGCCTTGTTGGATTCGCCCGCTATTGGTATGCCCCACTGCGTGAGGTGTGATTTGGATTGGCTTTCTGCGGTGAGTTCGGAAGTCCGTTTGACCGGTGGCGATAGTGGTGCGGGGGAGGTGTCTGCCATGATAGCCGGGATGAAAGGAGGTCAAGAGAGAGAGAGGGGAGAGGGAGTTATGTATGTACACGGGTCTATTGGGAGTAGGGTTCCTGAGTATATTGTGCGCTGGCTGGCGTCTAGCCAGGTATTCGAAGGGGGGAGTCCTGCTGCCAGGAAAAGAGGTAACTGGGGGTTTGCCAATTAGTATGTACGATGGTTTCAGGACGAGAGATATACTTGAGGAGAGAGCGTCACAAATTGCTCTAATTATAATTATGATATTATCCGTCCCGCGGAGGTTTTTTTCTTCCTGTATGTATGTACTTGGTGTGTGGAGATGTCGAAAGTCCAGCGCCCGCGATGGAGGAGAGTTGAGATTTGGGAGTTGAGATTTAATCTTGAGAGGAGATAGCTGATTAGAATAGGAACTGGACGAAAACGAAAAAAAAAAAGACTCTGAAACGGGTATAGCGAATATACCCATTTCTCGGTGCTGTCATACGGGCAGTGTGGTAACGGACATATTACACCCCGAGAATAACCCTACACGAATCAAATCAGACTTTCCCTGCGTTTCTCTGTGTGTGGGGTGGCACGGTCCAATAAGAAAGGGGTCTCCCACATACCGATTCAAACCAAATCAAGAAGCCGTCACTTCTTGTCCTTGCTGCTAGCCGCCTCGCCACTACTGCTACCACCTTCTTCCTCCTCATCATCTACCGTTAGACGAGACGCGGTGGAATCCGTATTAGTTTTGTACTAGAAACAGAGCTTCGTTCGGGACTGCCAAACCATTTATCCACTCAACCCAGGTCTCCTTCATTTCTGCAGCTCTGTCACCAGCATCCTGGACAGATGCAGACTCTGATATGCATGCAATGTTCTGTGACATCCAACTCTTCATCACTTCGACACTAGAGTCGTCGGTGCTATTATTTGGGGTGGTCATAACGTCGATGATGGTGATAGTGTAATCTTTGAATTCTCTCTTGTCGGAAAATGGGTATATATAGTGCACTTCAAAACACCACACACATATATATGTATTATCAGAAGGCCGAAATATGGTTGAATATAGCGGATACGAGAAGAAGAAAAACAAAGAAAAGAAAAAAGAAGAAAAAACAAAGGACACCCAAAGACGAAGATAACTGGAAACCATTTTAACCACTTTTCAAATCCCTTATAATGACTCGAACTCCCCAGACGGAAGAGACAGATGGACTAGCCTTTCGACTCAATTCCACGGTACAGGACAGCTGTCATAACAGAGCTTACGTATAGCAATTAAACGCGGAAGCTAGAGAGAGCAAGGCGGAGGACCTCCGTCGGAGAAACACATGTCCCGGGGCTGGCAAGTGATATTTTTCTTTTCCGGTTTCCGTTCTCGCTATTCTCGGCCGGTGCGACACCGTTTCTTTTCTTTTCTTTTCTTTTCTTTTCCCTTCAGCAAGGCATCTTGCTATGGTAATAAATAGTGTACGGGGAGAAGGGTTGGGTTGGGTGAGGCTTTGGGAGGAGGGCTTGGGCCGCCTTATGGGACCCAAGTGGGAATAGTTTTGATGGATCAGATTAGATTTAAGGATTTAAGCTCTTTGATGGGGGAGAAAGTGGCGTGTGACGTGTTGCCGGTAACGATGGGGGTTGATTGAACTATTTGGGATGGGACAGAAGAAAGGAAGGAAGAAGGGTGAGGAGGGGTGGTAACGGTGGTGACGGCGGTGACGGTGGTGTGTCAGCACGGAAGGGGGAGCAGGGTGTTCTGGAAGCTTACCAATACGTACTGCATCATGAACGGTAAAAGTAACGCAGAGGCAACGCAGAGCTATAGAGAAGCGGCTCTATTTTTGCGTGACATACAATAGCAACCAGCCAACCGAAACTCGCAATCACCCTCGAACAAGCCTCTCGGTTAGCGAGAGAAGAGGAAAAGACGAGACACTGATGGGAATTTTCCAAGAGGAAAGATGCACAAATACGAGGTGGACAGGAGATCCTCTTCGTCATGGGCTGCGCGTCTGGCTATCGGCGACGCCGATGGGGGATCATACGAGCCTTGGTATGGTATTCCCCTTGCCCCCCCCCCCCCCCCCGTTCCACCCTATTACACCTAGCCAGCCATCGGTATCGTGATCCTGCCCAAGGCTTAATCGCGATTGATACAAGCATGGGCACTCAGCAGACCTACCAGTATTCCACCCAAAGCCGCAAAATAAGCTTCTTCCTTAGGGCTAACTTTCTTTTAGGCGAATTCGCCACTGTTCTAGTTATTCACTACAGGACCTGCACTGGTATTGCAGCGGTTAGTTGGCCGGCCAGTCAGTCACTGAATATTTTTAGCCGGCCTATGAGCAATGAACACTACTAAGCAGCCTCTTCGGGAGAATCAATTCCTCTCAACGGAGGATACTTTGTCCGGATGAGGGTCGAATCCCCCCTATCCCCCATTCTCTGCTTTCGGGCGCGCTGTGAAGTCTGAATTGTGTGGCTTTCGGGTATGAGCGGTGGGCTGGATGGGAAGAGCCACCGCAGACTCACCCGCAATTCGAGCGCTGTAGCGGGCAGGACGATTGGGAGGCTTGACGACATCAAGGGGAGCAGAGCTGAGCAAAGTGTAGAAAAGTGAATAAAAATAAACGGAAGATGTCACTGATATTCTCGTGAAAGGCTGTGTGCGCGTCGTGTGTATGAGACTGGACTGGCTGATCACTCTTTCGCTGGTCGGCGGCGGTGGTGATGGTCTTGGAGGGCGGACTCGGAGAGTTAAACGGCGAAAGTGGGAGCGAGAGGCTCAGGTCGGAGGAATAATGTTCCCGAAGGTTTCGAGTCATGGCAACCAACCCACCAACAGCGAAAGTGCATATTGGTACTGGTACACAGCATACGCCAAGCCACCACCTCTGATACCCAAAACAGTGCAAAGATCTCCGAACCCTACCGGTACTCCTACTCCTCTCCAGAGGCCTTCAAACACCGGTTTTTCGTGAATACCATGCAACAATGCATGGCCGCGTAATTTAATCAATATTCCCCCTCCCATCTCGCTACCCGCCCAACCTAACGCCTCCCCTAACCTCTAGGCTCGCAGCTATGCGAGCAATAGCTTTGATAGTCCTTCAATGAGAACCCGATAAAAGTCCCCGACGAGTAAATCTCTATGTCTCCGTTCGCTGAAACTCCCTTGAATCGGGCCGCAAGTCTCCGGTTACGGCTCGCCTTGGAGTATAATGAATGCTCCGCCACATGCTCCCAAATCCCCTTAGAGTTAAGCACTCCACTAGCATAGTGGGCCGCAGGGGAGGAAGCAGATGGCCCTGCCGAATCCAGCGTTCGAATAGTGCAAAAGGACCCTACATCCCATGCAAGTCTTAACGATATAAGTACCCATAGGGTGCCCATGATAGGATATGGGTACGCTACAAGTACAGCACAGCAGGATACGAAAGCAGGAGCAACCCGGATACGAATTCGAGTATTATATATTATAGCCTCCCACCCCCAAGTCAGCGGAAAGAGAGAGAGAGAAAGAGAGAGAAAGTCAATCATCCTAGCACAGCTTTACCACCAGCACTTTCACAGAACCGAAGGGAAAAGAAAGAAAAAAAACCTCTTCCGAACCAAATTTCCCATCAACAATTTCCACAATGCCCGAAAAACTGATTGAAGGTCACAACATGACCTACTGGAACAGTCTCGACTGTGATCTCGATATCTGTCCTCTGGATGCTTCGTTCTGGGATTACCGGCCCTCACTTGCCCTCAACAGTCTGCTGATTGCACTTTTTGGCCTGTCTCTGCTCGCACACACCGCCCAAGGGATCAAGTACAAGACATGGGGTTTTTTGGTTTCAATGATATTCGGTTGCGTTGGTAAGTCCCCTTTTTTTATGCCCTCTCCCGGCCCCTCCCTCCCTCCCTCGTGCCAAGGGTTGAGGCTAACAGTGCGAATAGCTGAAATCGTCGGATATGGTGGGCGGATATGGGCTTACAATGATCCTTTTGGAATGAACCCCGTAAGTTCACGAGCAACATACTCAAAGCTTGAGCACAGCTAATAGTCCTAGTTCCTTATGCAAATCTGCAGCTTGACCATTGCCCCGGCCTTCCTATGCGCAGGAATCTACCTCTGTCTCTCTAGAATGTTAGTCCGCCCGAGCCCTCCGAACTCTAATGAATGGCCAAGCTAACCCATAACAATAGTGTGATGGTCTTCGGCGCCGAAACCTCCCGCATCCCCCCAAAGGCTTACACATACATCTTTGTAACCTGCGACTTCATCTCCCTCTGCCTACAGGGAGCGGGTGGTGGTATAGCCTCCACCCTCTCACAGGACGAGAAGGACCCGGCACCGGGAAACAACATCATGCTGGCGGGTCTAGGTTTCCAGGTCTTCACGTTGGTCCTCTTCATGTTGCTCTGCGCAGAGTACGCCTACCGCGTCAAGACGAGCAACCAAGAGTTTGACGTCACACACGCGAAGCTCCGCTCCTCCAAAAAGTTCCGCGCGTTCCTGATTGCGCTCTCTCTGTCGACCGTTCTCATCTTCATCAGGAGTATCTACAGGGTTATTGAGATGGCACAGGGGTGGGATGGTGCCCTCACCAAGAACGAGACCTTGTTCTTCGTGCTCGAGGGGGTTATGGTTGTCATCGCAGTGCTCGTGTTGAATGTTTTCCATCCCGGGTGGTGCTTTAGGGAGGCGTATGTGGATAGATTGGGAACCGAGAAGAACCTGGAATCTGCGAGTGAGAGAGGGACATGATGGGGTTGAAGCAACCCTTGTCTTTTTTTTTTCTCCCTCTCTCGTATCTCCGGCTGGTTAAGCACCCCCGACAGGCTTCTCAGTTTATGTTTTTGGCTTTTTTTTATTTTTAATTCTTGTTTTAAAGGTTGACACTGACATATGGACTACTACTATAAATTTTCTCCTTTTCTCTTTTGTATCATGTCCTTTTGGATTCGCTCCCGCAAAAAATTAAGAACGGGGGGTTAGGTTATGAATTGTGGGTTTCTGTTTTGGATATGGTCCCTTCATATAATACGATAGTATAGATGAATTCACCGGAATTTTTCAAGAAAAACATTCACCTTCCTGTGCACGGTGCCCGCATTCAGATGCAGTAAGCTTATGCTCAGCCACGCTAATAAAACCAATTGTGGAATTGCAACAATAGTTGATCCCGAGCCATACAGGCTAATAGCCCAGAGGAGGTGAAGAATCCCAACAACCGTACTTTACCCAGGTCCCGGTAGCGCATTCTTGAGATTTTCGGATAGGCAATCGCGACCCAATTTATCACCGTAACAGTCATGAGAATTCCGGCCGGAAAATGCGTCACCAGAAAGATCAAGCACGCATCATAAGGCCCGGAATACCGGTACTGTGCCCTAATCCAATACAGGTGTATAATACTCGCTCAATTCCAGTAATGTTTCAAGAGCTTATCCAAAAGCGTCCCAAGTTCTGCACTGGTACTTGTGCTTCTTCACAAGCACAAGCAAACGGGCAATTATGATACAGTAGAGACCCAAGGAAAAAGTGCGCCTGGCAGTGCAAGGCTCCCCCAGACACATACCGGCACTAGTAGTTTCTATCCATATGCACTTCTTATAGGTGCAAAATCTCTTCTCAGGATACCATTATGTCATAGCTAACAGACACCGGATGGTTGAATCTCAGCTGCAGTATTAATGCACTGACCAACCCTCCAATCTCAAAAATCCGGGCTATCAATAAAAATTAAATATTAAACCACCGACATCCAAAAAAGGCGATAGGCCGCGATGCACAGCACCACCTTGTAGCATATGATAGTCGAGTACGAGTAGATCGGTCACCCACATTGAATCTAGTGACAGTGGGGGTGCGAAATTATGATTATTATTTTACAAAAATGACTCCAAATCAAGGATGTAGCCATTTAGCCCTGGGGAGGGGAGGAGGGGGGCTCTGCCTCTTAGTCGAAAACTCTCATCACACGAAAGGGGAAGTGGACTCGAGACAAGACAGGATCGTCATCTCGGAGCCAATGATCGTGGAGCTGAAGGAGATAATAACCGTTGTGTCACCCAATCCATCTAAACCCTCCATTTTTGGCAGGGAGGGAACTCTGAGGCTGATAAACCTGCTCCTCAACCAAGAGGACTTCCATCAGGATACTGTAGAGTGCCAGTACAGATATTGCAACCAAACCTCTTGGAGAAACTCCTTAGAACGCTCCCCCGCATATTGATTACTATAATGATTGCTATGACAGTGAGAAGAATTTCAACCGCGCAACCGGCGTCCGCTCTGTACCACCCTGGACGTCCCTCTCGGCGCCCGGCGCCCGTACGACTCTTCCCGGCCCGGGAACTAGCGAGCCCCATCTTTTCTGTCTCCACCTACCACCACAACAAAAAAAGAATAAAAAGGTGCATAAAAATAAACTTTGGGTACCGTACCGTACTAGTACAGTATGTGCCGTATGACCCTTTCGCGATGGGGTGGTTTCAGATTTTGTACTCGAGTACCGGTACTGTACCATTGCGCTACGGTGCCCTTGCGGTAGAAGTGGGGCGTCGAACGAGGGTCCTTATTGATGCGTGTATTTTACCGGTACTGTGCCTAGCACTGTGTATACCCCGGCACTGTACCAAGTTAGCACAAGTAACTCGTACAGCGCCGGCACAAGTATACGGTACTCTGCACGGGTGCGCTGGGCGCGGTGGTTGGTGGTTCGCGCGTACGTAGGTGTCTGCTGCTGCGCCCCTGTTGGGTGTTGGGGTATGGTACAAGTGCTGTCCTCGTACAGCAACTATTCGCTGTGCTTTGGTATGGCGTGGCATGGCACGGGTGGGGTTTGCGAGTGGAGGTGTGGGTTAAAGGCAGTGTTTAGTTATCTACCGAGGGCGTCTCCATCTTCGCAGGGAGGTTAGAAGTCAGTGCTGTACTCGTACTGTACCGGTGTGCGTTTGACGGCGGGAGAGCCGGTATTATTTTCGAAATCAACGTACCGTGCCCGTGCAGCGCCCGGAGTTTTCGCACGACGCCTGCCCTGTCACGGTGCGAGCACAGCAGGCAACCCCGAACAATGCCGCTGTCTTGGATATAGATATTTCATAAATGGATATGAGTGCGTTAAACCTAAATTATCCATCCCATCAGGTTACCCGGTTAAAGCCTTGTCCACTCTACGGTAACTTATACGGTATCATACCGTACGGTAGGATAGCAAGTCTTGTTCTTCCATTCGATTCAATCTTCACTCGTTGAGACATTAGCCTTAGACCTCAACTTCCCACACACTCTCTCCACGAGTACTCGTGGATGACTAACCCAGCTAAGCGAGTCTCGGACGATAATTCTCCGCGACAGGGTGCAGGGGTGAGTAGGGGTGGGATGAGAGCGCTCATTGGTCGAGTAAATTCGAGGTGAGATGGCTGGTTGCTACGCGCCACGATTTCTTATCAGATTCATGTGACGGTGAGTTCTGCTCGTGCGTGTCTGCCGCACTCGCACTAGCTTGCTCGCCATGTATGATGGGGAGCGGGGTGATTGGCTAGTTATTGTGGCCAATCCTTTCGGCACGACACCACAGCCTCCTTCTGCCTACCTGTATGCTCCAATAACCTATAGCTCAAGAATGATATTCTGTGATCGGGGGCTCAACTCTTGAAAAGTGTGGTCATTGCGTAGCGGATTGCGTGGGCCTTTTGAGAGGTGTCCAGACGCCCAGGCTACCGGTACACCAGAGACGGGATCATGAAGTGCGATCCACTTGACTGCGCATTCAGGCCGTTGGGGGGTGGAAGGAGAGGGAGGGGGCTTGACGGTCGAACATATATATCACAATAAAACAGTGAGGTAAACCCAATCAATCCTTGCCAGCCAATAACCCCCCCCCCCCGTTCACTCCTCTCTCCCTCGTCACACTTAATCACGCAAAAACCCGCGTCACTCAAAACTCCACGGAAGCACTTGGGGTCCCATCCCAAGCGAGCAAAATACCCGGAACAGCCATAGCCTCCATCGTACCTTACTTTGCTTCCCGCCGGTATGCATTATACGCGGCAGGTACAGTGAAATGCCCCAAGTTGATAAAATAGCACTGCACAGGCGCGACGTAAACGGACCCAAAATCCGGATTCGACCCGGGTGAGCCAGACGGTCGGGAGGCCGATGAGTCAAAAGGCGGGTCCCGTGGACCGCCCCTGCCCTCGTGTACCCTTCCGCGCACGGAAGGAAGGAAGGGTGAGGGTTACTCCCTCGCTTGTCAGCCGGCGCCGGGTAAGACCGATCGGGTCGGGACGGAATCATTGGTCATCACTCGGGAGTTTCTCAAACAGGGCGCCCTCCGGTGAGCGTTTTACTCGGGAAGCGGAATTACCGGTGGAGGGCTGAGTCATTGTGGCGTCTCGGGAGTTGCTTCACAGAACTGACAGGTTTGCTGTGTTGCTGACCTTGGAAGTTTGGTAAGCGAGTTTGAAGTCACGTGACTGATGATGGAATTAACGTCGGACTCCGCCGGGGTTTTTTTTTAATCTGGGCGGAGGGTCTAGCGGTTGCTGACTTGCGGAGCAATTGGGGGACCGCGCTCCGTGGCGATCGCCCCCCGCCTAAGGAAGGGGACCGTTTGTGCGGTTCGAATGGGATTCTGCCATCATTCTTACCCAACCAGCTCGCATATTTTGTTTTGTTTCGTCATGTGCCATCACTCGGAGGACATCGGAAGTGCGATGAAAGGCTGTCGGCGTACTTGCTCGTTTCGGGGGAGGGCTTCATGGTGATCTATAGTGTATAGCTTCTCTAGACATTTGACATGGGGCACTTCTGGATTTGGGCCCTACGACCACCTCTCAAATCTTATGCGGGGTACTTAAAATGTGTGCCAAGTCCATTTCATCTACGTCCGCTTTTTGTAAGGAAAGTGAGTTTCAAAGGCCCAATCTTCAATTCCAGTCAATGTTGATTTTTCTGTTTTTCTTTATTCGCGCTACATCACTATAGGTTACTGGAATATTTTTTGAGCAAAACAGAAAGGTATTCAAATGATTTCATTAATTTTCGCATCTGTTGTTCCCCCGTCTTTGGTATCTTCTGCTGCTTCCAATTTTCCCACGTTCTGTAGAAGTATCGGGTATGCCTCCATAATTCTATTGGGTGATTTAGATTCATGTAAGGATCCATTGTGGAAGAGGCATTGCTGGAGTTGTAGGTGGTTGATGTGGGAATATTGATGGGAGGGGTAAAGTATTATGAGGTACCGCCAGACCTGTTAACCGAATGGGGGAATCAAACAGGCTGGAGAATCGAATTGTCTTCAAACACAGTCCTCTTCATTTATTTACAGCCCTCCACACTTACAGATGGAGGCACCAGATGTTGCAAGGGGCTTGGTATGGTATTCATGCCAAACGCTTTATATCATACCAACAATCATCCAAAGGCTCAACGAAAGTCTCCGAACGAGTTAGGTTGCAACAAGGTAGCCAATGAACATAGGTGTATCCTATTAGAACCCCGATTTCTCTAGGTGCCTAACCTCCTCCAGGTAAACCGAGCCGGAACGCCGGGAGTTCCTGAACATCTCCGAATCATGGTGTCTCACTCGATAGCATTAGTGTTGGGTTCAGCCAGTAGGTTTACTGAGCGTGTGATACAATACAATACGGTACGATAACGTGCGGTAAATCACCAGACCTCATTATCCGGGTCGGTGGAAGCTACTAATAAGACGGGAAAGGAACTTGGGGAGGTAAAGTGGGGGATAGAGGAGATGAGGAGGGGGATGTTGGACTGGGAAGCGGGTCAGCGGCTGTTCACCCATGTATTGCACAGCGAGCCTAGTCTTGGGTCTCAGAGAGCACCTATCCACCGAGCATCAAATACCTTGGCGCAAATACCGTTTTCCCGTGTTGCACCCTGCAGCTGCAAGTTGCCGTAGGGTATCAGTAGCGTACTGGTATGGCGCTCTGACGTACCGCACTATTCGAGCACCAAGGGTGAAATACGGGATACCTTCTAGGTCCCCCTTCCTCACGCCCTATCCAAGTTATCCCCTTCGTATACCTACCGTATTCCCCAAATTCCGGAG